ACACACAGCCATTCCTTCCTTCCAAAAATAAACAAAGAACAGGTCCAGTTAAATAGTGTGTGACATTTGGTCTGGTGTCCCCGAACTATGATCCCACCATGCAGGAAACAGAGGCAGGTAGCTTTCTGAGATTGAAGCTAACCAGAGCTGTGTAGTGAGACCCTGTCACAAAATGTGTGTGCACACAATGACAAGAGAGACCAGTACTCCGAAGGACCAGTGGTTATTCTTATAAGAAAAAGAAAAGGCTAGGTAGTGGTGGCACATGCCTTTAATCCCAGCATTTGAGAGGCAGAACCAGGAGGATATCTGTGAGTTCATGGCCAGCATGGTCTACAGAGAGATCCACGACAGGGCACCAAAACTACACAAAAATCCCTGCCTCAAAAAGACCAAAAAATTAAATAAAAAAATAAGAAAAAGACCCTGAAAGGTGAAAAGATTCAGTGAGTTTGAGTAAGGAGAGAGATGCTTCACATAAACACAACTTCCATGCCTAGGTCCTGGCTAAGAGAAATGCTTGTCTAAGGCACAAACCTTAGGACAACGTGTTTAAAGGAGGGCGAGAGGAGAGTGTCCATGAGAGTCTTCATGGCCATGGGGATTCAGACACAGTGGAGCAACATGAGTTTCCTGGGTCTGCTTGGCATGGCTGTGTCCAGCAGGACCCAGGTCTTTTATTACATGCCAACAAAACTGTGGTCCTGTCTTTGATTTGAGATCAGATCTTTGGTAGAGGGGGAATTGGTGACCTCAGGCCATGGTCATCAAGACTGGAAACAGAGGCCATCCCTGTATTCCTGACCCAGGTTTCCCAGCCCCAGCCCTGAGTTGCTGGCAATGTTTCCTCTCCCAAACACTGAGTAGCTTCACCTGTCCCCACCTTGTTCCTGAGAAAAACATTCTTTTCCAAGCATTCAACTAAAGATACAGAGTTTGCAGATCAACAGGGATCAGTGATAGAAAATATCAGGATTAGTATACCAAGATCTCACTGTAGAATTTTGCATCAGTAGAGAGTAATTCATGCAACTAGGGCCCATGGCAGCAAATAATTTTCACCTCAGGGTGGACATAAATGTTAACATCTTCAGATGCACAAGGCACATTGACCCAGGTGAACATTATTGTAAGCAAATGCATGATTATGGCTGGAGATTCTCATGTCTTCATCCCAGAAGCTGAGAAGTATGGGTCTCTATTGTTCTAATGTACAGATGTGGAAACTGAGGCCTCAAAAGCTGCAGAGTGACAGTGCTGACAGTAGAGACAGAGTTGATCCTTTAGTGTTGTCTGACTGTGTGTTCCACCATGCTGCTTCCCAGGTGTGGGAACAGGATTAAAGTCGGGTCCTAAAGCCTCCCTGAGAGCTCAGTCTGCTGGGATGAATGAATCTTACCTGCCTGATGAATCAGGGATGTCCTTCATTGTTTCATTTGAGCATTTCCACAGGGTCACATAGGGCAGGCTGTTCTGGCTCTCTCTTTCAACCTTTAATGAACATAGGAGTTTCAAGGAAATGGTGGCTCTTTTCCTGGGATTATCATCAGGCCTGCAGAAAATAGAAGTCAAACTGAACAAAGGACTAGAAGGCTTTGCTGGTTGGCCTGGTTTTCATCTTCTGAGTGGATGCAATAACATGTGTCTAAAGTCATTGTCAGTAACATCTGGGTAATATCAACATGTTACATATTCTCCACAAAATTTACCCATTTGTATTAGAGTTCCGTAGGTCATGCATGTTCAGCACATGTGAGCTTTTTACTTGGCATTAGACTAAGAATTAGGATAATTGCTAACATTTGTGACACAAATGACATGTGTTCATTTCAAGTATTTAATCCATTGAATCACTACAACAGTGCTAGGAGATAAATCACATTCTTTTCAGAGTGAGGAGACTTGGCCATAGAGAGGTTAAGTAAG